AAAATATGTTAGAGACCATTCTTCATTTGGAACACCTTGTCTTGAAATTCACTTTGCACATTAAAAAAATTCCATCCTGCATGCTGTGGTAAGGTGTCCTTATTTGCCTGATAATGAAAACAATAAAGATCTTCTATACTTACTGAAAAAAAATTTATGATATTAAACAAATTTTTTAAGTAAAAAATATATATTACCTGGACAAGATAACTTTGATAAGGTAAGATATATATCATGGCAATCTCGCTCTTTTGGAATGACAAATGTTACAATATAAAAATGTTTGCATTTAATGCACAATGGACAACCTGTTGTAGTTAATGGTTGTTTTTCTATATTTGCAATATGAGTATATAATATCTAAAATAAAAAATATTAAGAATATTCACATTAATTGAAAATGAAAATGAAAAATGAAAAAAATAAATATATAATTACATTAAATAATTACAATTAAAATTTAATATAACTCATTTATTATCATACCCAAATTTTTTTTTTCCCATTTCGTTCTGTAAATATAAGATGTGTTACTGTTAAGTAAAGAGTACCAATAGAATGATTGTTACTATATTTATCTAAAATTCTGACGTTTTCTACCTGAAATCATAAAATTTGCATTTATAATGACAGATGTCATAGCAGCATTATATATTGTTCTGACATTAATCATCTTTCAAAGATTTCAATAAATATATACTTTAGGAATTTTATTTATTAAAAATAAATGTAAAAAATTTTTTGATTATTTTTATATAATTATATAACAATTTTTTTTTCATTGATATCAATGTAGCGGCTAGTAAAACATATTGATGAATAATATATTAATAAATATTTGAAATTATGATTTAAAATTTATTCATGAAACAATTTTGCTATATATAAGACATATATTCATTTTGATACCTTTGGAATCTTTATTTGATCCATTTCGTTCCGTTCTTTTTCAATTGTTTATTCCTGACCATTTGATGAATTATAAATTGAGTACCACTGTTCTATTACTGCAGTGTTTCTCTTTCATGCGCTTTCATTAGACAATATAAAACAAAATACTTCTTTTGACATTAATACAATTTAGTCAATGATTATGAAAGTTGTTATATGTTTTATATGAAAAAATAATATTAATATTAATATTAATTATTAATTATTTCTTTATATTTAAAATTTTTTATATATCATAGATGGCAGCAAAGGAAAAAACATTATATTTTTAAAGATTATTTTATAAGTTTCGAAATAAATATTACTATATTTATGTATTTTAATATTTACTTTAATAAAAAATTACTTAATTTAATTTTAGATTATTAAAACTTTTTAATTAATTATCTAAATTTTAAAATTAACAATGAGCAACAAAACTGGTAATATGAACATATGATTTTCATATAATATAATTATCTATAATTAATTATTTGTTCTAATAATTTTATTTTTTTAGGAGAGATAGATCCTATACAAGAAGAACTAGCAGGTCGTGTACGAGAAGTTGGAAATCATGCAATTTGGAGTTTATCTAGTTGTAAACCTGGTTTTGGTGTAGATCAATTGCGCGATGATATCACGGAAACTTATTGGCAGTCTGATGGACAACTTCCACATTTGGTAAACATTCAATTCAAAAGAAAAACAACAATTCGTGATATATGTATATATACAGATTATAAGCTAGATGAAAGTTATACTCCTAGTAGGTAAGAAATTTGCATCTCTTATTACAGTTACAAATAACAAATTTTTACTTAATTATTGCTGTATCATATTTTTAGAATAAGCATCAGAGCAGGCACAAACTTTAATGATCTTCAAGAAATAGAAGTCATGGATCTGAATGAACCAAGTGGCTGGGTTATTATTCCTATAAAAGATATAAATGACAGACCTATTAGGACATTTATGATACAAATAGCTGTAATAAGCAACCACCAAAATGGGCGGGATACACATATGAGGCAAATTAAAGTTTATAGTCCAACACAAGATATTCTTGGACCACCTGCTTCCTATATTGCAGGTCAATTTCTTACAAATGAATTTTTGCGTTATGCTACAGTTAGATAAAAAAATAATACTATTAATTTCTTACTATTACAAATTTGATTTTTAATTATCATCTCATATATTGTTATTTTATTTCTTGAATATTAATAAAATATTCATTAAAAATTAGATGAATAAAAATCTATATAAAATTATATATTATATATTTGTACATGTATTTAAATTCAAATTAATTCTATTATGAAGAATGAAAAAAATATAAACATACAATGTTTGTCTTTATGTACCTAAATATACTTAAGTATATATACTTAAAGACTTTCCTTTTATCTATGATTTCTAGTTATGAATCAATACTCTAAGTAAGAATTTGAATAGAAGATGTTGAAATTCTTGTTTATTTTAATATTAATTAATATTACAACATGTGATAGACATACAAAAGAAAATTACTTTATAAATACTGCATTTAAATATACTTCCAATTTCTTTGAAAAATTGAAATTAGACTATGGTATAAACTTCTTAATAATAATATAAAGTTAAAACATTATTTGTGTATTATATTTGGGAATTTTATTTTTAGCATCAAAAGATTTTAATAATAATACATTGTCTAAAATTAACAAAAAAATTATGGAACACATTAAAAATGCATCGAAAATAATTTCTTTCCGTTATAAAAGAGAATTATATTCTGAAAGAGGTAAGCATATATATATTTAGAAATTTTAGTTTTAGAAATAACAAGTATGTGTATTTCTTTTATAAATATGTATTTATTTACATAATAATATTTATTTATTAATCTTGTAGTTGAGTAGATTTACTACTAATACCAAACAATTCTTTAAATGCATATTGCAATGTATGTTCCATTAAATATTTTAATAATTGACCCATATCATTATGACGTCCTGAACTATTAAATGATATCTCTTGAAAATTGCTGAATTTACGCATTTCATCAATGTTTTTACAATCTTCTTCTCTCTCTTCTAATTGTAATAATATTTTCTGCCAATTCATTGATTTTATCTAAAATTTTTAAAATCATGAAAATATGAAATAGAAAATTTATTAAACTAAAAAAATTGATACCTTTTGCCAACAATAGACACAATCTTCTAAAGCACCTTCTAAACAAATTACTCCAGGTTTTCCTGCCAAACAAAAACCTGTAAGGCAATTTTCTTGTGCTAAATCAATTACTTTCTTTCTTTTAAATTTACTATATATATGATGACTATAAATCCAATATCTGGAAAAATTTGTAGATTTCTCATGTTCTTTATTCTTGTTTTTATTATTGAGTTCTTTATCTTTATTTTTATTAGATTCTGTAAGATAATTTTCACCATTATCCTGTAGCCATGATATTAATATATAAATGCAAGGTTCATTCTCCTTTTGCTGCTTAAGAATATCATTTAATGATTGGTTCAAAAGCAATTGTTGGCTTCGACTGAGAAAGGAACTTCTTGCATAAATCTCTGGTTTTTCTTTGGGATAGTTAGATGATAAACTAATTAATAATTCTATTGATCCCTGTGAATGAGCAAATTCTTCGTTTCTAATATAGATATTGATATATTATAATGATTACAATATTTTTTTAATCTTACATCATTTAATGAAATTTCAATCGAATATTCCAATTTTTGAGGCACTTCGTTCATAGGATTCTTAATGAACTCATTAATATGAGCCAATACTCCATGATCGCCAATTACTAATTCTTTTGGATAAACAGATTGTAATGCTTCCAATTCATAAACTTGAGCTGTTAAATTTTCACTTATTTCTTCGTACGTGGACATATTGCACGTTGAAACATATATATATAGAAGTTTATAATCTAAAAGAAAAATTAATAATAATAAGAACAGTAATTGACCATAATATTTAGTATTATTACGACAATAAAATAAAATAAAAATGAAATAGGTTCAAAAGGTTATGGGAATCAGTTGATACCAAACACATGTATGTAAACAAGTAAATCGATTATTAAATTGTTAAATCGATAATAATCATTCGTATTAAATCGAATTTAATTTTAAATTATTACCTTTACAGATGGTATTAATATACTTAATGGATTTCAAGACATCAATAAATTAAATTTTGAAGATGTTCAAGATATAAATTTCTTTTCTTTTCAATATGAATTTGAAACAATGTGGTTTGTTGTAATTTTGGATACTTCCAAATTATCTTTATATCAAATAAATGTAATTATTACATTATTATTATATATTAACTTTATTATTTTTATAATCAACATGAAAATATTGAGTATTCTTACTTAAATTATTTAAATTAATTTTAGAATGGAAGTTTTTACAACATTAATGATTATTTTGTACGAAATGGAACACAAATAATTGTAAACAGTTGTACTTATGGAGCCCTTTTTATAATTCAAAATCAAAATGGACCAGTACTTATCTTAAGTTTCACTAAAATTTTAAACAAATATTACCTGCAACAAATTCAGGATCTTGAATTAAATAATACGACGCATTTATCGATATGGAATGGAATGAATCAATTACGCTTAGCCATTGTTTCTCATTCAAATATTTCAATTTATACTTGGTTTAATAATTATTTTGATCTAATGCAAATCATTAATATTAGTACAAAAAAAATAATTCCTTTTCAAAGTAAAGGATTCATGTATTTAGCAGTAACTGGATCCACCACATTGATTTTTAAATATTTTTTAAAATCTAATAAATTTTTAATCATACAAAGGTTACCATCAAGTCAGGATGTCTCTTATTTTCAATTAAATAAACAGCATTTCATGGAATATTTTTTAACTTTATCAATGAAATCTTCTATTATTATTTATAAAGAATTACACAATCGTTTTGTACCATTTCAACAAATTTCTTTTAGCAAGATTATTGTACCAATTATTTCAAATAAAGCTATTGTAATTTTAACTTTACATAAAGACACTATAATAGCTTATCAATATGATGGTTGGAAATTTATAAAAATAAATACAAAATTATTTGGAATTATTCAATATAATCCAATAATATTATATGGAAAAGAATTATTATTAATTAAAAATAAAAATAATAAATGGACATTAAAACAATTACTTTGGATTAAAAAAAAATCTTACAAAGATTTACAAGAAGATATAAGAATATGGAATTTCAATATCAAGAACAAACTTCAAAAAATAGCAAAAGAAATTCCAAATTTTAAGAGTCCCATTAAAATTTTGAAGGGTCATATTGATCAACTTCAAGTTCACAATGTAAGATCATTTGAACTTAAATAAAATAATACCAATCTAATATTTTTGTTTACAGATAAATGAATATAACTTTGAAACATTGAAAAATGTATCAAAACAGTACAATAGATTGATCAATAAATTTCAAGCACAAAAGATTATTATTAATAAGTGGCATTCTAAAAATTTAATTATTGCTTCATTGCATGCAAAAAAAGTTCAAATAAAATGTAAAACAAATTGTAAATTCAATCGATTATATGTAAAAGAAAATCATAATTTTCTGTTCAAGTTAATAATGTCAAAAGATAAAAACCAACTATTGAATTTTAAAGAATTAAATATTAAAGAATAAAAAATTGGAAATGTCCACTTTTAAGTCTTGCAATAAAAGATATTATTATTCACAAGTTGATTAATGGAATATCTTTAAATTATTTACAAAAAAATGCTTTGAAAATAATTAATGATCAAGAAGTCTTTGGTAATATATTTTTTTAATAATTAAAAAATACTATAAATTATAAAATAAAAAATATATGTTAAAAATAATTTATGATATATATATTTTAGGAAAGCATATTTTTATTAATATGAAAGCAATAAATGTTTCTATGCCACTAAATATTGCTACTTATTTTACAAATCAAGAAATAAGATTAAAAAAAATAAAAGTTAAACAATTAAACTTAACAACTGGTGCAATTTTATTACCATTAAATAATTTATTCACAGTTATTAATTTCATTAAAACACCTCAATTAAAAATAAAGAATAATATTTCTTTAAATGGAAAACAAACTGGAAAAGGATCAATAAGATTAGGACCTGTAATAGATATTACTGAATCCATGAATTTATATAATAACTTCAGTTTAGAAAATGTTAAAATTGAGAATTTGAAATCTATAGATTTAATTACCAAAATAGGATCAATCAAAAATATTTTAGCAAATGCAATAACTTTATATGATAATGTACCAATATCTTTAATTCTTTCAAGTGAAAAAATGGTGAAAAAAATAATATAAATTTTTATTAATAAGATTTTTATAATATATTTTTATAATAATAATTAAAAATAATTGAATTTTAATTTAGAAATGGAACAATATTACACTGCAAAGCCCTAAGAAATGGATTACTGTGAATTTTCAAAATATTAGTGTTATATCAGGAAAGAAGCATATTTTTCATAATGTACAGATAACAAAGTTTTCTTATGACAATTTAAAATTTGCACTGTATGTTTATTTAATATTTATAATTATAATTAAAATTATAATTAAAAATTTAGTAACAAAATAAATATACTTAAATAACATTTTCTCATTTAAAGGAATAAGGATTTATTCTTAAAGGACTCAAAATTATGTGCCACTTTTATTTTTGCATCAAAAATTAAAACTTTATTTTTAACAGGGAATAATATTACTGTACAAAAATTAATCAGTTCGCATGTTTTTGGAAATATAGGTCTATATTCTATTGATAATTTAACAGTTTCTTTCAACCCTGTTTTATCTGAAAAGAAATACTGTCATAATGTCATTGCAAAAAATATATTTGCATTACAATTGAATAATTTAAATTTAACAGGTAAATAATAAAAAAAACAAAAATAATTTTTTATATACTATTATATTAAATATATTGTACATAAAATATAATATTATTATTATATTATATTTATTAATATATTAATATTATTTTTATGTTCAATATTATAATTTAATATTATCAATAGCTTATTATTATGATTTTTATACTAATAATTTATTGTTTAATTATACAGATTTGAAAAGACTTATAGATATATGGATTGAACCTAATTTTCTTAATACTTCAATAAATACATTAAACTTGATAACAAATATTCTTCAATCACCTTTTCAATTTTATATAGAATTGCCTAAAATAATAAAAAATATAATATTTGAACAAAATATTCGTGTAAATAACATTAATGGAATAAATTTCAGCAATTTCTTATCAAATACTATAAAATTTAATGATATGGTATCTGTGCAAAATATAACATTTCGTAAGTTATGAGCTTTCTTTTTTATTCATTATTTCATATTTATTTTTATACATTTATTATTTATTATTATTTTAGTTATTTAGTTATTATAATTCTATTTTAGGTAATGGTATCAGTACAAATGATATATATGTTTCTCATCTTCCATTCAATTTGATAAACATAAAAAAAGATCTTAATCTTTATAAAAAAAGAATTTCTGGAAGCTTAAAAGCAAATACAATAAATTTACCATATGTTTTTAAAATCATTGGAAACAAAACTCTAGTTGATATTTCCATTATGGGATCTGTAAAATTTTGTTATGAACCAATCATAAAAAGTATAAATGATATCAAATTAAAAAAATTATCTTCAGAAATTTGGATGGTAACAAATACTACGACAATACTTCATGGAAAAAATATGCATTTTAATGATATAATGATAAAAAAATATGTTGTTTTAAATGTAAGCAATAAAATTAATATATATTTTATCTTAATAATACAATAATATAAAATAATTAAATTTAATATAATTAATAATTTTATATTAAATTATTAAATTGAATATAAAATATTAAATATTTAATAAAATAATGATTAATTTTTAGAATTTAACAAATACATTAAGCTTCAAAATGTGGAACAATATTTTAAAATCTATTCTAAGTAAAACAAAGTTACAGGAAATAGAATTTCCTGCATCTTTTAATGATATCAAAATTTCTAACATTGTAAGTTCAAATATTTCAATTATAAAATCTTCATTATCAGATTTCAATAATATATTTGAAAGTTCTTTGTTAAAAAATAAGATCAAGAAGTAAAGACAAAGTGGATATTCAATAATTAAAAATTTCAGGTAATAATAATTAAATTAGTAAAAAAAAGAATATTATTATATAT